ATGGTAAGTATCATGTACAAGGGGAATCCCCGAATTGCAAAAGCTCACTCTAAAAACAAATCACTGACATCTGGATGTGAAGAGTTAANTTCTTGTTTAACTTACTTGTTAGAAGTTGTTTGGCCTTATCACATTTAAAGTACTTCGCTTTGTTGCATGTGCACTGCTTCCAGCAATGTCTTTCTAGGGATGAAAGAAATGCTGGAAGCAGTGCAATTTTTCTTTATATCTTCAACCGATTCAAAACAATGATCTTTCAACATCATTTTTAGTGTAGAAAATTAACTCATTACATTTTTGTTTTAACTTAAATATTAAATATGAACAACAGTTTGGCATATTCACTAGAAACATGTTAATTGTAATTTCCATAATTTCATGACAGTAATTTTTAATTGCCGAGAATCAAAATATTGATATGCAGTAATTAATTTTTTAATTTTCTTTGGGCGGGGAAAAGTTTCCATTAAACTTTAATTGCTCTACATTTAGCAATAAATTTTTTTTCGTATTATATGTTGTTTATTATTCTGATCATATTTTTTGCTTTATTGCTGCAATGATTTCATACATTTAAATTCACAAAAAGTTCTTTTAAGACATTATCATAAGGCTCGGTAAAGGCAAGCCACCAAGTGAGTGAGCGAATTAATGAAGGACTTAACAAAGCAAACCTTACCATACTGAAATTACAACACTTTCTGTCTATTGCAATTCACATTCAGTTCTGTATTGTAAAATTCAGTTCTGCCTCTGGAACTGAAACTATTGGAACTGATCCAACTACAAAACTATTCTGACAGAGTGGTTTCTCGGAACTGCTTAGTCTGTTGGATTAGATGGTTCTGCGGTATCATTATGTTCTGTCAAAATTGCTGTTTGACTCGATGGTTTCTCAACGGTTATATATATCTATACATATATAGATAATAGAATATTTCTCTCTCTGTGTGTTCTTAGCTTTTCGGTTTATCTTCACCAAATTTTTCTTGCTTATTCTGTGAGATAAATATAGACTTCCATTAAATCTGAATGTCTCGCTGTTTTCTCAATTTGATCTTTTCGACATTTTGTGATAGCCATAACAATGGTAGGCTAAAATAACCGAACTTGTAATATAGTTTCCATTTTAACTTTTATGCTTTTTATATTTTGGCCAGGCAATGTCGTACATATCTGCTAGTTTACTAATAAAAGCAAATAATTAAGAACTTTAATAAGAGTATAAACTTTTAAAATATCTTTATAAATTTAAAATATTTGAAACTAATTTCATTATTTCGTAAAAACTGTGGAAAGTTTTATTGTCAAATCCAGATAATGAATTCACTGTTCCATTAAAAGTTGTATTCATAAAAACATAAAATGAAGAATATGTTGTTAGTTCTAGAACTGAAACAGTTCATGTGGAACTGTTTCTTCCTTTTTAGTAATTTTGAGTCTAAATTGATTCCAACCAGAACTATTTACCTCTTACTCTGAAACATACAAAATTAGAATCATTGGAAGTAGAATGTACTGCTGCATATTTGTCCTTTATTGGATACATATTCGAATTTTGAGAAAACTTGATGAGATATGATTTCATTGTTCTAGATTTATCAAATTATAGCTTCATTTATTACAGAGCTATTTGTTAGTGATAAAATGACTATTATATGTAATGGAAAACTACAGAATTTGCATATGGCTTGTTTTGCTCATATACTACAAAAACTGTACTTATTATTCGATGTTAGCATCAAGTTATACCAAAAAATCCTGCAATTACTTTTTTGTCTGATTATATACAAATTCTACATAGCAATGATCATTGGATTTGCTAATATTACAATTTATTATTTCAATATTACCATTATTATTTTAATAGTGCTCTCTTATTATCTGTTTTCTTATTAACTTACACAAAACTTATTGGTACATACGATTCTGTAAATTACATAAAATATCTATGGAACTCAAAGTATTCCTACTGAGATTGTATTCTCATATTAATACTGACATCTCTGAACTTTCCAAGGGAACGGCAGCAATCAAATAGAGTCGAGTGCAGCGTATATGTAATTGTTTTTGCTGTCTCTTTAGTATTTGGTGTCAAACCCAATGTAATTCGATAAGATCATACATAAATACATTTACATTTCTTAAAAATATTTAATTTGTCTAAATCAGAGCATTTCTCACAGATACCATTTAAAGGTGTTGTTGGAAAAATTAAATCCTTGCCACTTTCTCTGAATAATAATTTGAAATATATTTAAAAAATTATTTTCAAATTCATCTTTCCATTTATTTCTCCGCTGTGGAGAAGCTGCATGCAACATTTTCATCTTATGGCCTTCCACAGATAAATACTTTGTAGACGAGGGAACTAATGTAACCATTTATAAAGCATGAAATGAAAAAAACCAGTGATATCTCCAAAAACATACCTGTAAACCTTACATGTACAGAAACTGCAGTCAAGCATGCGTATATCAATCATTTTTAAATTATTACAGTTTTAACTTATATGTACACGAAACACAATACAGTAAAACCTTCATTCAGTGACTACGTTTTACAGTCATAATTATTTCACTATGGAAAGTCATGATATAGAGACATCAAGTAATCATTCTGACAGCAAAAGCAGCAATAGTGGTGTCAAGAATTTTCATTATATACAGTTTTGGTATCGGTGTCAATGTCATTTTTAATAAAAACAATATTTTGGTTTTCAAATGCATACTTGGTAGTGCATTACAGATATATTTCATTACTAATTATAACAAAGTTTATTTCATTATAAACAGTTTGAAAGAATTATTATCATATTATATACACTTTAAAGCAATAGTGAAAGGAATTGTTATTTAAAAAGTTTCAAATAAATTGGAAAATGTAAGAAAATAGCACCCTTTAATGGTAAAAAGCTTTGGTATTTTCGTGTTACCGAATTCATAACACATGCTATTATTATTTATAGATAAAATGAAGCAAACTTTAATGTTGTACAACTGTAACAGTGCAGGGAAGGATTAATAATATCAATCTAAGGTGTAATTTATATATCATCATTGTCATCATCTAAATAATTAACTTCATTAACTCTAAATTTTAAAAATAATAAACTTTTTAATATATGTAGATATGCCAAACATATTTCCAAATTACTTCTTAGGCTGTAACTAGGGTAATTTAGCAATTTGAAATAAAATAATTTGGTCTGGGTAGGCTATTTGTTACTGTCTACTGATAAATTTAATAATTGGAAATAAATTTAAATTTTAACTTAAATTTAGAATAATCAGGAAGAAAAGATTAGCTCAGAATGGTAGGTAGCTTGATTGCCTACCTCTAGCCAAATTGTTTTAAGATTATTGATTAATAAGCTTTAATGTAGCCTGATAAAAACACAGCTGTTTTTCATTGCACAAATCTAATGTGTCAAACTCTCTGTTACTTCAAGTATTTCTGTTTTATAAAATTTTTTATAAGAAAGGTTATTCTGTAAAAAAATTTTATATTTATTACTTTTATTNTCTGATAAAAACACAGCTGTTTTTCATTGCACAAATCTAATGTGTCAAACTCTCTGTTACTTCAAGTATTTCTGTTTTATAAAATTTTTTATAAGAAAGGTTATTGTGTAAAAAAATTTTATATTTATTAGATTTATTTACACTGTGGGTTTTGCGTTGTTGTTGCTTTTATCATTCGTAGCTGTGAGTGGAAAAAACGAACGAGACGAGATCGTAACAAAAATTAAACTTTTATTCTTCTCGCGTACTTTGTACAGCACATGCTTCGACCACGCGGTTAACAAAGACAAACTGGTTTTCGACGGTCTTTGTCGAATTAATCGGCGAATAGGCGTCGTCCCGTGTTATATATTTAAATTTTGATGTAAATAAAAGTATACTGGAGGCAATCTAAANACAAATAAAAATAATAATATACAAAATTATACTGTAACAATATAAAATATATATATAATAATTTATGTTGTTAATTTAAATAACAGGAAGGACAATAGTGGAAATTCTCATGAATTAGCATGTACTGAGTGGCGACAGCGCGAATTAGTGACATCTAGCGGTTCAAGGAGAACACTAACACCGCAGACTATGTAAAGTCTAACAAAACTTGCAAAAATGCAACGAAATAAATATTTTATCATCTTTTTTTTTCTATATTTTATTATCTTAAAACACGAATTATAATTTTATTAAGTAGGAAACGTGGATGGATAGTGATTTAAATGAAGGAATAATACCAATAAAACAAATGAAATGCAATAAGAGTCAGATTTTTTAAATTAAAATCAATTCAACGTGTAATTTTTTCACACGTATCAACTAAATAAAGATGAGAAAAACCGCCAAGTGTCTTAATTTATAGCATCTTATTGTGTTAGAAGAAGAAATAAATTTTTCTCTCATATATACGCTTGATACGATATTAAACTGTTAATCTACCGCCGTGGACCCGGTTTCGATTTCCGTTTCTAACTTATATAATTTGCAATGTACGTAGGAATCGGAGCACCGTACCCAGTTACTCTTACTGATCGAACCCATTACGAGTAATGTAGTCATCGTTCACAAATTTCTTCACATTCTAATACCTATGTAAAGTCCAGTTTCCCGTAGTAAGTACTCCCTGAAGGCCCTCATTGCAGATTGCCCACGGGTTCCGTTGCCTTATTCCATCAAGCCAATCCGATTGATATAATTTCTATAGAATAAAAATGTAATTGTGTTTATTAACCTAGACAGAAATCGATTTACATATCATTAGAGAAGTAGGTCTGTTCGGGGATGGTCTGTTTCGGTATTGTCTGACCCGAACCCACAATGGACCTGAAAAAAACCCTCTGAATGATCATTTTCAGGCTGGTTAAAAATGAAAAATCATCTTAAAAGTATTCTTTATAAATTGTTAATTAATATTTTATTCAAGGAAACAAATTTTAAACAATTAATCAGATTGAATTTAATATTATAAAGTAATATGGAGTTTGCAAATTAATTTTCAGATTACTTATTTCTAATTTATAAAAGTGAGAAAATATATCGATGGTTTTCAAAAATATAAGTAAACGAGGAAGGCAAAATTATCGCTTTCTTTTTCAATGATCCCATTTTTAATTAACTTCTGTTCGAATAACACCCCCTCGGATCCTTCGGGTGTAGAGAAAATATCTGTTGTTGGTAATTGTAATTTTATATTGTTATCGATCCAATCTTCTTGTTCAAAAACTACGGACAGGCGACAAGACGAATTTTTTCCAACGTATATGGGATTTTCCAATTTTACATTTCCTTTGGAGTTGCAGAGAGAATTAAAATGTAAAACACCATTTTGTACCGAATTTATGTAGCCATAAATTTTTATTGGTATGCGTTCACAATTAACAGTTATGGGAAGGTTAAGGGTATTGACGAAGCAATCTTCCTTTACTAATATCTCGCTGCTGAAAAATGTAAATGGTTTTTTACTTTTTTCGGTTACTCGAGGAGATTCTTTTATATGTTTAAAGTCGAACAGAGATGCGTAATTTGAATATTCATTTCTGTATCTCTTGTTTGAATCTTTGCTGAAATACCTCGGATAATTAGAGAAATTTTGAGTTTCCATACAGATGAGAATGGATTCTTCTTCTTCTTTTGTTAACAAATGGAGTTGGAATATATCATTTATTAATTCTACTTTGTCCATTGCTAAGAATCTAATTTTTTTAAGAAAAGGTTGCATTTCTTCTCGATATTTTTGTTTCTTTGCGTTTTCGTCCATTTCAGCAAATGATGTTCCCATTTCTCTTTTAGTCTTCTCTTCGATCCACTTGTAGACGGCCAAAAATATATCCACTTCACTCATACTTGTGTATAATGGACGAGACACCAGTCTGTCTATTGTGGTAGTCCCGCAGGATTTGAAATCTTCTCCCTCGAATATCTCTCGCCAATACGAATCGAAAACATTCCAGCAATGATATTGTATCTGAATGAGATTCATTTTGCAGGCGAAATCGTGAATTAAGCAGACGTTTTTCTCGCTTAATTGCTCAACAATATACTCTTGGCACTTGATGCTTAATATTTTAATTCCGTATTCTTTGCTTAGATGGTACAAATGGAAACCATTTTTCAAAGATTTTATCTGAGGGTCATCTGTACCCAAATAGCTACAAAATAAATATAAAATATATTTAAAGAATGCAAATATTTTCATTTTGATTTACTAAAATATAGTATATTATGGTTATCTCACTTAACGACCCGAGCGACAACTTCAGTTGGGTATGGAAATTTCAGTATTCGCGAATCTTCTCGACTTTCGATCACAGATTCCAGCTGCTCATTGCGAATTTTATCAAAAGTGGATTCGGAGATGAACATTTTACCTCCATCTGATGGTAGAAGTGCGATTGTCTTTGAATTCATAAATGTAATCAGCTGGAACCAAATACAACTCAAATAACAATGGGTATTAATAGAATTGCAAATAACAATGGTTATTAGAATTGTTATAGTTTTATTGTGTCATTGTTCGGAAAATAAACAGAATTTTCCTGATAAATTATTCTTATTTTTTACTCTTTTCGATCTGTGGTTGTTAAAATACTATTTCATACCATGCCATCGTGGATTCAGTATGAGTCCCAAATGGGGCGACAAGATGGTAAGGAACGAGATCCGATATATTTAGGACAGGGACAAACATTAGTAAAAGGTTTTACCAAATTAACACTACTGATGAAAGTAAGCCAGATTGTAGTGATCCTACACTTAAGAGTTCAACATACGCTCATAATTTATCACGGAACAAGGAGCTGAGACATCATTCCTCATTCCTTTTTCAAGTCAAGCAAGTAATATAGACGAAATTTCTGCGCAAAATCGTTGTCAATTTTTACCTTGCATTAACGAATCAATAAATTAATGTTTTCTAAATTGTGTTTTCTATTAACAATAAAAAAATTTACCATTTCGAATACTACGAAAGTGAGAGAAGCCCTCGAAAACCGTTCTTTTCTTATTGTCTATTTCTGGCCTTGTTTTTTTATTTGTGTAAAAAATTTTTTAAATTGTATCCTTACAGTTTAAATTAAAATTATTTACTTTTTACTTTATTTTATTCTGTGCTGAAAATTAAGTTAAACAGTAAAGCTGATTCAAGTGGAAAAAATCTATCTTCTTTTTACTAATTTAAAAAAGTTTACCTTTAGGAAAAATTATAGTTCCAAGATGTCTACTACTTCTTCACCAATGTCTAAGAGGCCTGCCAGTGGTAGAATGGATAACACCACTGAATACTGAAAGTTGGTCGTGGGTTCGTGCCTGGACAACGGGTTGACCACGTGGAGTTTTCCGGGTTTTCTTTACGTTATTAACACGTAAATAGGAGCCAGTTTCTCATAAAAGATCTCCCGGGAGGCATTCCCCTCGGAATGTAGCTCACGTTATCGCGTTGCAGTAAACAAATAAACCAAACGCGATGTCTATCCTCACTATTGGGTCGTAAAAAAGGATTGGGTGATTGATAGGCTAAGGAAACTCAATAGTGGCCAGGAGGACTTTCTATGATAAACTGCTTCTTCTTTAGATATTAGATACGTGAAGTACACCCAAAAATTTCCACATATTGGTAAAGTGCTAATCTCTGACTATCACTGTTCAGTGGTTTTATCCACTGGACCGCTGGCTGGCACAGAATTTTCAAATAGAAAGATTTCATATCTTGTAACATTGTATTAGTTTCTCATAGATATCAATTTTGTATTGTATATCTCGGTTAATACATTAAAAAGGAAAGTAAATTTCAAGATTTTCTTACAAATATTTCAGAAAAGAGCTAACTATATCAGTGATTAAAAAATTTTATTGTCGAAACTACTACATAATTAATTACAATTTAAATTCAAATAGCATGTGAATATCAAAACTATTCAAAAATTGCTGAACGGTATATATATATATATTTGTTTATTTATTTACTCTTTCAAACATTTAAGAACAAACAGTTACAATCATTGAAGATTCTCTACAATAAACTGTAATTATTTATTATTTGTTGTTAACTCCTTAAATTAAACCATTTCCTTGTACGAATGGGGATAATGTAATATCTACTAAACTATTTATCAAACTATTGATATACCGATCTATACTGTACATAATACATTTAAATATTGATAATTAATATTCAACTGAATTATATAGCATTATTAAAATACTGTTGTTTTATCGTTATACATGCTTTATACATAAGCTTACCATAAATTTCATAAGCAAATCTTGAACATTGATCGTCCCAATATTCTAACAGGATTATAATGGTGCATACGATTGCAGTGTTCTCTCTACAAGCAGTCTAAACGGCATCTATGAATATACGTCAAACTATTAGGCCAATACATGATTGATATTAGCTCACTACTCCTGAATGGATTAAAGCACTGAACACCTGATAAAAAGAGTGACTGGTAAACAGGCTGATCGCGTCTTCTGAGTTTTCTTCACGTGTTTAACAACTAAACAAGGCCAGTTTTCCATAGAAATGTCCACTGGGAAAGCATTTCCATAGCCGTTGCCGAGCTTTTAACGTATTTGGTCGAACCAAATACATGATTGTTATATCCAACATTTTTGTTGTTTTTGACTCTTTTCGTTCAAGAACACTAAGATTACACCCAAATGGATTCCACCACTTTTAAAATTGGGACAGCCGGGTGGGTGAGCGCTGCATATCCGGAACGAACCAGCAAAGAAAAATTATTGGCATCTACAGCCCAGATTTGATCTTAGGTGCTCCAGAGACGAAATCTGACGCTTTAGTTGCTCGGCCGTTCGTCCGATATTTACGATCAATAACTATTTGTTTCATTATAGCCGACGTAAGTATTGTTTACTTCCATTCTGATACATATTTTCCTCTTGTTCTGTACTAATTCCAGCAAAGTCGAAAGAATTGAATATAATCCACTCGTCACCTAAAAATAAAAATCCAGCAACGAGTTACTTAACTTTCCCGGCGACAATCGGTGGCGCCATCTGTTATCATATTTTATTTTTAAAACTATATATTTTTAACTATTCTGAAATGGCAAAAAGTTTAATTTTGAGAGTAAGGATAGGTTTAAAAAAAATAATGTTAATAATGAGTAAAATCGTTATGAAGTCTTATTCTACTGGAGATAAACACGACCCCCTTTATCTCCCCACTTCCTTAACCTTTAATAGCACCAATAGCCCTAATGAACAAACCTCTCTCAAAACTTTAGAAATTTTCGACAAAAAGCCCAAGAGTTATTAAGCTTCAAAGGGGGTGAACTCCCTATACACACACGCACAGATACACACACTAACAACCATACATACAAAAAACTCCCGAATTTTTTTTTTTTTTGCATTTCTCGAAGATTCAAGATGTCCTGACTTCAAAAATATAAAAATCTTGGAGGAGTCATTTTTTGATCGATCGCTATACTTTTTCTCTATTATATATAACAGCAGGAAAAGATTAAAGAGCAGTGTAAATTTGATAAAATGTGTAAAAAAAAAAAGCAAAACAATACCTTCAGAAGGAAGCTTTTCTTTGCGTAGAAGCATCTACCAAAGGAAATTCCAATTGGAGTTTTTCCAAATCTTTTCATAAAATTCAAGATCTAAAATCGACATTTATGTTATATCGAAGTACTACAGTGATTTATGAAATTTCTAAGAATCGTTAGTAATTCCTCATACCTTTAACTTATATTCCAATGAATAGTTCAGAGACGAGAATCTATTAAAAGCGATGAAGTTACTGTAAAGCTAAACATAAAGAATTATTAGTAATCATAATATGAAACAATAAAAACGGTACGCATTTTTGTTAAAGTTACTGTACTTACTGCAGAAGTAAATTTTGACAATGCTACTGCAAATAATAACAATTGAACCAGCATTATCATTGTAAATATAGATAATCCAATCAAAAGATACGTGTTCAGTCTAAAGAAAGTACAAGTGATTATTAATGAGCAACACATGTACAAGGTGTAGCCATAGATAACAGCAATAAGATTTTCATATTTAGCATTTATGTGTTGAATGTAGGACCAGATGTGAGAATGCTTCCTGATAACAATTTCCAGTTCGTCTTTCACACGTTTTGATTCGATGCGAATGTTTTCAGAGTAATCGGATAAGTGTTCTAATCTCTTGTACAGTATTAATCCAAGAGCATAAGCCATGAGGCCACAACAATCCAAGCAGCTATTTAAAAATATTAAAAGAAATGTCGTAAAGAAGTAACACAGAATACATTCGGTGTAAGTTACATCATCGAATGTAGGATACAGAAAAATATCAATGCTCATTTTAATAATTATCATCGGAATGAAAGAAGAAATGAGTTGAGAATGACAATACGATTCTAGTTCATTCATTAAATCCTTTTCCTTGTGGTAAGAACTTTCATCGCTCGGAATTTCTAACTTTCTTCGTCTTATAACTCCAAAGAGGAAAGTGGTGTAGATACAAATTACTAGGATGCCGCTAATAATCATTTCCCTTCTCTCTGGAAAAATCAGGATCCAACTTCTGCAGAATGCATCTTTAGAATACAGCATAAACGAAATGTTTAAAATGGTGGAAATTAAAAATACTTCTAATACTGTCAGATAAAAACTGTACACTTTATCTTTATAAGTCTTCTTATGATTCTCACTTTGCAAAATGTTAATTCCGAATACTTTTAATGCGGAATTTATTGGATAAAGAAGCATTCTAGCCGATGAATCTTCCNTTCAAATTTTTTGTAAACTAGGCATATAATTAATTCTATTGCTATAACTAAAATTAAGCAAGCTGTCAGTATATACAGTAAAAAATATAATAATAATTAGATGTATACAAATTAAGTACATAATTACCTTACGAAAGATTGCTATTTTATTATGTAGGGTGCTTTCCGTAACGTCTTTCCAGGAAGTACACACTTGGCCACACTGCTGTAAGTGCAGATCGTTTAAATATTTAAATATGTGTAGTAGAACTTCTGGTATTTTCAACACATGAGAGGAGATTTCTTGAAATCCTGAAGATATCTTTGTCAATGCATCTGCATTATTCATTTTGAAAATTTTCTTCAAAGAATAACTAATTTTGGAATTAATAATGTGTTGTTCTCCATATTTAATTAACTATCAAAAACAGTAAAATTATTTTTAAAAAAAAAGCAATTATATAAATTTTCTAGTAGACTATAAAAAATCTAAAAGAGCAATATATAAATATGATAGATAAACATTTCAAGTTTATTTAATTTTTGACTTAAATTTCGTAAAACTAAACTCGTGTTTCGGACTTGTTTGTCCCTCATCGGCAGGCCTTCAAAAAACACTTTCTATAATTAACAAATTAAAATTGTTTTACAATATATTTTATACAATAATTTTTTCCAAATATATTCGTAATCCGTATTAATCATATAATTTCCTAAGTATTCATC